AATTTAAGAAAAATTTTAAATATATAATTTTTGAAAAAATTATTTAAAAATTAATTTTATTATTTTTAAAATAAAATTTTAAATTAGTTATGAAATAATATTTTTAAAATAAATATTTTTTTAATCAGCTAAACACGAGGAACTGTTATAGATAAAGTGTAAACAATTATAGGGACAAAACCGTCAGAATGTTTTGTGTGGACTTAATAAATAAATAAGATTTTCACTTTGAAGGGGGAAGGAGCAGGGAAATAAATGAAAAACCAAATAAAATAAAATAAAATAAACGCGGCTGCTCTGGACACCAAAACCATGGACAGAGTCCTTTCTGTTTGGTAATTGATTCCAGCTATAGAGATCGGAGGAATTAGGGTGACGGAGGAGCTGCGGGGAAAATTAAAGTAGCGATTTTTGGGAGATCCTGGTTTTGAATAGCTTGGTTGTTGGAATATAGCATTCCAATTGTGCTGGGGTTTTGATTACGTGATCGGGTTTGTTTTTGATCGAATTAGGGGAAATCTTTGGTGGGGTTTTGGAGCTGTTTAATGGGTCGGGGAGAATTTTTGGTTTGGGAAGGAAGAGAGGGCGGTTTGAGGGCTTGATTTGTGAGTTGTTAATTTGGTGATTTCTTAGGGAAGTAGGTAGCGATGCGAGGAAGGGGCTAGGGTTAGGGCTTGCAGAAGGTGGGAGAGAGATGGAGGACACGGAGCTTGAAGAAGGAGAGGCTTGCTCTTATAATAATAACAACAACGGGGATTATGATGATGCCAGCGTCGACCCTGATATTGCTCTATCTTACATAGTAAGGGTTTGTTTTTGTGTTCTGCAGTGTGGAATTTTGTTTAGAAGTGCTAAATATGTTCTGTTGACTAGTATTGTGTATTTGAGATTCAACCTGAGTTTTTTGTTGGTCGTATTGCAAAGGTAGAGAACTTTTGTTTTATTAATGTTTCATGTGTTTTAATTTTTTTACTAAATACATTGAACTCTTATTTTTAAATTCAAGCCAACAAGGTTGCATCTAGAGACCTGGTAATTTTTATGAGGTTTCTGTTTCATTTAGATAGCTAGATATGCTTCTATGATCTCAGTCTGTCTTAAGGAGGAAAATTTCCATCTTTTTTGGCTTATGATGGAGGCACTGAACTAAAGAATGATTTATAGCAATTAATGTGAAGAATCAGTTTTATGTAACATAAGTGGTGGTCATGTCATGACTTGTGAATGAAGCCTGTGGAGTGTGTCTGAATGACCTAAGTTTTACAGTAGCTGAATGTGAGCTCTGCTTCCATGCATTCAAGAAGGCTGAGTGGGTATATATTTCCATGTTGGCCTTGAAGTTTGATTATGGTAAAATGAATGCAGTGGTGTGAATATCTTATTTGAGTATTAGGAGAATGAGATTTAAGGCTCTAATTTACTGATTATGAATCATGATGTATGATTGCTTCTGGAAGTATCCACACAGCATTTATCATAAAAACATGGCCTAGATACAGATAGATGTTGCAGGTTTCTATGGCTTGATTGATGACCTGTCTGTGCTTCTTCTAAGTTTCTTGTTTTCCATGATCTTTTGGTAATGCGACTACGGTAATATTTTTGAAGGATGTGAAACTTCAACATGTTCTGGGGCATTTCCAAAAAGATTTTGAAGGTGGAGTTTCAGCAGAGAATCTGGGTAAGTCAAAGCAGCAAGTGATTTGTTGTTCTTGTAGCTGAAGAACCAAAGTAAATCAGAGGCATTATTTGAGATTAATGTTTTGGGACCTTTTAATATTTCCTCAGGTGCAAAGTTTGGTGGATATGGCTCGTTTTTACCTTCTTATCAACGGTCTCCTGTTTGGTCTCGTCCAAGGACTCCACCAGAAGTTCAGAGTCATGCAGTTAAATCCCCAAATAATTTGCAAGTGGAGGTACATGGTTTCTTGCCTTTGGATGTATATTGTTAAAATGGAGGCATTGTTCACTAAGTCTTGGTTGATTTTAGAATGTCAAGTAACTTGAGCACTGAATCTCTCTTATTATATAGGGTGGCCGTCATGGCACGGCAGTTTTGTCAAGTATATCTCAGTTAGTGCGACCTGGACCTGCTTCTGTTACTGCTGGAACACTGCCTGTGTCAAAGGCTCTGCCTAGGAATGATTCAGTCAAACAAGAAGTGTCCATACCATCAAACCATGCTTGTGAATTTTCAATCAAGAAATGTTCTAAATTAGCAGACCAGAAAACATTGAAGTTGCGAATCAAAGTAGGCTCTGACAACTTGTTAACAGAAAAAAATGCTGCAATCTACAGTGGTCTTGGCCTTGATGTCTCACCATCTTCATCCATTGATGATAGCGCTTCAGAAACAGAAGGGGTGTATCATGATTGTGAAGATGTTTCGTTTGATTCTCCCACTAGTATTCTTCTGGTAAAATCCTCATTCTGCTATTGTCTTAATATCTCATTCTTTTGTCTGTTGTACCTGAAGTAACAAGGTTTTTTTCTTTGATGCGTTGGAGCAGATTATGACCTCCTTTCCAGTGCTTGGGGATGTACTTTTATCTCCTCTCCCTGATGATGTGCTTAACTTGACTAAAATGGAAAAAATTCTAAATGCAAATCAATATGATTTCAGACAGGATAATGGAAAATTGTTGAGGGAGAATAGAGCAAAGTCAATAGACAGAAATGATTTTCCAGCAGAGCAGAAGGGTGCTAATAGCAGGTATGTTTGGGATGAGAATAGAAGATCACCAAAGGAGGAGGTGGATGTTGATACTTTGTCATGTGAGGAGCTTCTTTCTAAAACCTTAAAGCTTCCACTTTTGTCTAATTCATATTCTGCCATTGACAAGGTAAAAAGAAAGGGAATTGGGGGGGAGAAATTTGTCCATAATGAAGTAAGGGATGAATCATTTGAGCCAGTATTCACCCAAGAGATTGGCCAGGAGAACCCAAAGGCTGATTCAGAAGGAAATGTTAGGGAAGATAAAAAGACAAGCTTTGTGGACAATGTTTACCCAAGGAAAGATAGCCATGTTAAAGGAGAAAAAGTTTGTGACATGGTCAATTTTTATTCAAATGCTTCAAAGGGGAAGAAAGCTCTAAACAGGGAACAAATAGATGAACATATGGACAAAGTTGGCCAGAGATATATATCAAATGGGCTAGAGAGTCTGAAGTTGCCCCAGGGGAAGGAGAATTCATCCTCTAGTGGGAAAAGAAAATCAAAGGTCAGTCAAAGTCATGGCAATCTAGCTGCAGATGTTCTGAAAGACAGCTTGGGGGGTGGTGGTTCTTCCTTGATGCCCAAAAATAAGAAGACTACTGGTGTTGATAATTATACAACCAAAATGGAACTGGGTAACTTAAACTTAGAAAAGCCTTCTAAAAATGCTGAAGATAGGTACAGAGAATTTTTTGGAGACATTGAGGAATCAGAACGGGAGAACGAAAAAAGTTCAATGGGAGTTTATTCTGAAGATAAGCTGAAGCAATCTGAGAATATTGACAAAAGCACACCTCCTATTAACAACCCATCTAAGGAAAGGCTAAGTAATGAGAAATCTAATAGACTATTGGCATCAGAACCATACCTTAAGTTGACCAGAGATGCTAATCTCCATTCTCCAAATGTCAATGTTTCTGAAGCAGCTCCAGCAACTGGAGTTCAAGCAGCTCCTGCAACTGGAGTTCAAGCAGCTCCTGCAACTGGAGTTCAAGCAGCTCCTGCAACTGGAGTTCAAGCAGCTCCTGCAACTGGAGCCCCAGCAGCTCCTTTATTGATAGAAGAATGGGTTTGTTGTGACAAATGTCAGCAGTGGCGGCTTCTACCACTTGGCATGAATCCAGCCAAGTTACCTGATAAGTGGCTTTGTAGCATGCTTACCTGGCTGTAAGTTCTACTCTAGTGTACTTGAAATTATAATTCTATACATGTACTGTCAGAATTGCGTTAAGCAAAAAGCTAAACCAGAATACCAGTGCAAGAGTATCTAATATGTGATGGTTGATGTGAAATAGTAATAGAAAGATGAAAGATATGTCTTGCTTCTTTTAATTTTCCTTTTTGTGGATATTGATATCTTTTGCTTGAATATGTTCTAGGCCTGGAAGGAACCGATGTGATATTAGTGAGGAGGAGACAACAAAAGCTCTTATTGCATTGTATCATGTGCCTGTTGCTGACAATCAAACCAGTCTAAACAGTAATCCAGGGAACATTGCTTCCAGAACACTGGAGGCTGGTGTTCAGCACCCTGACCAGAGCCATCAAACTAGTGGTTCGCATTCCATGCCTAGTAGTGGAAGGAAGAAACAAGGTTTGAAAGAAATGCTAAATGTTACCAATAAAGATCCACCTACACAATTGTCACACCCAAAGAAAATCACTCAGGCATCAGTCAGAACTGGAAGCCTTTATATGAATCAATCTCCTGTGGTGGGTGAACCTGGTTTTCAGCACCAAAGCAAATCTTGGGACTTGCCTGTGGAGAAGCACAGACATAAGCAGAAAGACAAGCATAGGGTACAAGGGCCCAGTTCCGATGGAGGTACCATTTTTAGAATAGATTTTACTGTGCTTGTAAAACTCTAATTTCTTAAAATATATAACGAACTTCTTTTTACAACAATGCAAATAGGTGATGCAAAGAATTTAAAGATGAAAGGGAAAAGAAACAGTGATCAAGATTGTTTTAAAGCTGCCAAAAAAATCAAGGCCGGGAATTTGCATTTTAGAGATGATGATAGGGTGTCTGACCTTGCTGGGGCTGTGGATAAGGTGGGTTCTGGATCAGTTAGTGGTTTACCTACCATGTCACTTGGTAAGGATAAACCTAATCACAATGAATTTTTTTCTTACAAGGATTCAAAATCGGATAAGAAAAACAGGCTGCAAGTCTCTGCTAAAAGACCAAAAGACAGAGTTCCACCACCTGTTGATGATGGATCCATGGATTTGGTGAAACGTGATGGTGGAGATTTCTCATTAAGGAGGAAAATGATTGAGCATGAGAATCATATTTATTCAGGTCCCTTCCAAGGTATGGGTAATCATCTGCAGGATGGCAGAGTGTTAGCAAATGAGGAGTTCAGTGGGAATGACTGCAGGAAGGAAAAGAAGGTCAAGCTATCCAAGTCTGAAGGGAAGGATTCTGGGGCAAGTAAAATCAGCAGTAAACCAGACAGAAAAGGTAGTCATACAAAGAACCACCAAAAAGGGCAAGATAAAGGGAGCACCCTGTCTCGAGGGAGCTTGGATGTTGCAGATTCCCTGAGAAGGGATTTTGGACCAACACAACCTTCTGCAGCAGCTACTTCAAGCTCATCGAAGGTTTCTAGTTCCCATAAATCAAAGCCTGGCTTCCAAGAAACCAAAGGGTCGCCAGTGGAGTCAGTTTCTTCGTCGCCAATGAGAATTACTAATCCTGATAAACTTCCACCAGTGAGAAGGAACTCTTCCAGGGGAGATGAATCTCGTGATATTGGTCATTTCACTACAAGAAGTCCAAGAAGATACTCAGATGGTGAAGATAATGTTGGTAGTGACAGATCAAGGACAGGTAGGAAGGAAAAAACTTCTTCTTCAGCACTGCACAGGTCCCATGAGTCTTCTGTGCTTAATTTTCAGGATAAGGATGCCAGTTATTTATCTGGTGATCAAGCTAAGCTGCTGAGTGCACCTTCACCTGATACCAATAAAGGCCAATTTACCATTGGTAATGGCAGTGTTGATTACTTTGGCCAAGAGACTCAATATCATGGTCAATCAAAAACAATTGATCAAAGTCACAATGAAGAAAGACAGAATGATAGCAACCATTTTAATGCTAATGGTTCTCATCCAAGGAAGTCTGGAAAGGAAATCTCATGGTCCAAGGACAAGTGTCCAAATTTGAAATCTGATTCTACCAGTGAATTGCAAGATTCTGTGCCTTCATCTGAAGGAAAACCTAGAGATGGTAATAAATTTCAGGAGAAGTTTGGGGTCAAGTCTAATGAAACTGAGAACAAAGAATCTATTGGGAAACTGTCTAGTGAGAATAGTAAAAGAGATAGTCCCGTGAATTTTCCAGGGCACGAAGGTTCAGATGGAAAAATAGATGCTACCCTCACTCAAGATGCAATCTCCAATGTGAAGCAGAGTCTTCTTACAGACAGTGACGGTGAAAGATATACGAAGAGGCTGCAGCCTGACAAAACTGATCAAGTGGAAGTTGTTTCTGGGAGACTGAATCCACTATCCTTGCCACCCACTGGAGGAGCTCAAAATGCTTGCTCAGTTTCAGGGTCCCAAAAGGAACATGATGGAGATGGTTCTGGAGTCAATGTCTCTCAAGGTGATGAAGCATCAAAAGTGCCAAGACAAATAAATAAAGCTGATTGTCCAAATGGAAGACAGATCATTAGTATAAGACAGCCCACATCAGGTGGAAATAGGGTCAGGCATCTTAATGCTCCAGGTTCACTAAGAAAGGAATCCTCAAGTCAGGCTGGTAATAATGCTATCAAAGAAGCTACAGATTTAAAGCATCGTGCTGATCGTTTTAAGGTTTAAAAACTTAATTCTTTTCTCATGATTTAGTATTTTTTACTGTTCTTGTTCTAGCTGTTAATGACAGTGATTAGTATTATTACTGCAGAACATGGGAGATAGTCTGGAAAGCACAGGGCTTTACTTCCAGGCAGCCCTGAAGTTTCTTCACGGAGCCTCTCTATTAGAATCTTGCAAAAGTGAGAGTGCCAAAAATGGTGACCCATTGACAGTGTATAGGAGCACGGCAAAACTCTGCGAGTAAGTCAACAGGAATTTGTCTGAAAATGTTGTTGTCTTCTCTTTCTAATTCTAAGTTTTGAGTAATATTCTTTAAACTCGTGTTAGTGGAAATGAGCACCTTCTTGATTCTCTATAGTCAGGGTTTCTATTTTCTAGGTATGAGAAACATAGTCAGGAAATAGATACCTAACACTCAAAATGGATTCTGCCATTCTGCTTGACTTTTTCTTACAAAGTAAAGTCTTTCTGTAGCTCTTCTACATTGTTTTTGCCACTGCAGAAGAGCCACTAGAATTATTAGGATCTGTGCAAAGGAGGAAGTTATTTTAGGGCCGCCTTCTCTTTCATTGCTGTTTTATTTCCTAAAATATTGAATCTCCTAAGTTTTTTTCTATTATATAGTTCCCTGAACCACTAACTTAATATATTCATGCAAAAGAAAGGGGAATGGTTGGAGGGAGGGTGTCCTAAAACTTCATCATTACACATTGCAAGCTAAGGTTGATCTATTTGAGTTGAAGGTCTATCCTGTACTACATCAAAATTGGAAGGGCAATGGCATTATTGATTGCCTTTGATTTCATGCATCTTGCACCATTTTCAAGAAGCGTAAAAGACAGTAGTGTCTTTTGCAGTTATCATATTATTTGTGTCACTTGTAATGAAATCTTTTTTATGGGTGGCTGGCATCTTTGCCCTTTTCCTTTAGTTGTATGTTATTTTCTGTCAAATGTAATCCTGGATCATTGTTCTGAAGTAATTTTGTGCTTGATTTTATTATTTTTTTTCTTGTGTTTCTGTAGTTCTCTTACTATGTATGTTTTCAGGTTTTGTGCCCATGAATATGAGAGACTTAAAGAAATGGCTCCTGCTGCTTTGGCCTACAAGTGCATGGAGGTAGCATATATGAGGGTTGTTTATTCATCACATGCCCGTGCAAGGGGATACCAAAATGAGTTGCAAACAGCTCTACATATAGTTCCTCCAGGTAATTTGAGAAAACAACAGAAATTTATTACTTAGCATTAGTAGTTTTGACCTTTGAGTGTTGCAAGCTTTCAAAGTGCATGCATACATGAACTTGCTAAGCCATTGTCTTTATGCTATGAATGGTGAAATTGTTTTTATGTAATGTGAGTATGCTTTACTCGTTATCTCTCACAGATAGAATGACATCATGTTTTCAGAATGAGGGTCTCAAAATTCTAGGTTTTTCCTTCTTTTTTTT